GGCAGTGTGACCTGAGAATTAGAAAGCAGGATGCGAGAAGCATATCCAGAGTTGTTTCCATCAGTTATTTTCGAGGACGAAAATAATTAAAGTGGGGGAGAGTTGTAACGCCCATTTTAATTATTCAAGTTTTCTGATGTATTTTATTTTCGGCGTGCCTGCGTGGAATTTGTTTGAGAATGATGGTCCATAATATTAGGATAATATAATTAATAATAATAATAATATGATGATGATTAATAGTATTGTTACTATTATTACTAATATTATTTTTTATTATTATTATATTTAAAAATATTATTGGAAATTGTTTGAAAATTAAAAGGAAAATAAGAATATTATTTTTGGAATTTAAAATGAGGATTTATTATTATTGGAAATTAAAAAGATTATTTTGAGGGTATTAGGGGCTGTTTGGGAAGAAAGGATTAGAAAGAGGGAACACGCATGTGAAGGAGAAGAACACGGCGGAGAAGCAAGAACACGATCAAAGTGAGGAAGCTTGAGCAAGCGTGTGTGGGTTGTCAATTCGTGTGGAATTCTTGAAGCTTTATCATCATCAAACTGCATTTTGAGGTAAGGGGGGGGGGGGGGGGAATGATCAGTTAATTTCGGTAGTTGCATGAATATGTGCTGGAAAGGGGGATTCCCTAACCCCATGATTGATGATGAATTAATGATGTTTGCATGTTAATGATTATGTTATAATTGTGGTTATTGTGTTGGAATTCGTTGCATGTGGCTGTAGGGCAATTGTTTGAGTGTTTGGGGTTTCCGGTTAGTTGGAAGTTTTAAGCTGAAAGTTGGTTAATCGAGTAGAGTTGAGGATTTATCGGGTAAAATCGAGATTAGCTGTTGTAGTTAAGTTGTGGAATATTAAGCCGATGATACTGGTGTTGCTTTGGTGAGAATTGGTGAGTGTGGGGGCTGCTGAATTCTGAGCAGCAGAATTATTTCTCTGAATTCACAGACACTAGCTAGCCCATCCCTAGGCGAGTGGATAGAGAGCCTTCGCTGGTAGCTCACGTAGCGAGCTGATAGCGAGCCATTCTAGTGGCTATTTTCCTATGTTCGCTAGCTCATTCGCTAGGCAAACGTGTAGCGAATGTTCGTTGGGAGCTCGCGTAGCGAGCAGGTGGTGAGCGCAGCAGGTTTTGGTTTTCTTAGAGTTGTGTTCAGCTGTTGATGATGAGCGTGGTTGGATGGATTCACCATGATGATGCATGGGTGTTGAGCGTATGTTGAGGGTTATAGGGTTGTTTTGCCGGCGTTTAACGCATTTGTCATGATTGGTTGATTATGTGATATATATATATATATATATATATATATATATATATATATATATATATATATATATATATATATATATATATATATATATATATATATATACGTATGCACTATATGATGAAGTGGATAAGTAGGATCGAGTACGCCTTGTGTGCGTTGTGTTTATATGTTGTGTGACGATGGATCAGTAGGACCGGATGCACTTTGTATGCTTGATATGTATGTGATGTGAGATGAAATGGATCAGTAGGATCGTGTGCACCGTGAGTGCTTGTGTTGTTGTGCATGGTGTATGCATAGCATTTGGACGAGATTGAACCACAGCTCAGATGGGGCATACATGATTCACCCATGCTCCAAATGGGGAGCGTGGACGGGATTTGAATCGTTGCTCGGATGTAGTGTATGCGATTCACCCGTGCTTCAAATGGGGAGCGTTGGTAGGGATAGGTCGTTGCTCGGATGAAGTGTATGCGATATATCCTGAGATTTGATCATATGGGCTCAGAAGGAGCGTGGTAGGGATAGATCGTTGCTCAAATGGAGTGTATGCGATCTATCTTGAGTTGATTCGGTACCGCATATTATTGTATCGAGTTGCATGTGTTGCATTGTTGTGTGTTGTGTTGGCATGGGACAGTAGGTCCAGATTTGGTGTATATGAAATGACGTTTCTGCCTTTTATATTCATGTACATTATTACCGTTAATATTTGATCGTGATTTCTCACCCCTTGTTGTTGTTGTGGTCTGTGCTTCTTCGAAAGTACAGACAATCCAGGTGCTTAGCTAGCTTGGATTGTGGCGAGTCGTAGGGATGCTCTGATACGTAACACCGAGGCTTTTGGGAGTATTTGTGTTTATTTGATGATCTTGTGTGCCCCTGTGGCGTATCATGTTTTGTTGGGATTCGATGATGATAATTTGTATATTTTGGGTGTTGATCGAATTGATGTATATGATGATGATGATGTATATATATTTATATGTTTATGATAAAATGATTCCGCTGCATTTTTGTTGAAAATCTTTTAAAAGAAAGGTTTGATGGAATTTTGATGAAAAATGTGACATCCCGTTTTTGGGGAAAAACTCTGATATTGCTGAATTAATTGTTTTATTTTATTTTTGGGAACGGGGTGTTACATTCTGCACCACCAGAAGCTAGCAATTCAGCTTCTCTCAAGTGTGCCTTTTTATATCAGATTCTGAATATATATATTTACAAGTATTAGAATCTCCATACAGAAAACACACATAAAATATAACCGTTGTTCTTTTAATATTTTGTTACCATCAAAACTCAAGAAATATATGTCATGAACAAATCTTGTTCTAACACAATTAACTGAAGTATATTTTAAGAACTTAAAGGCAACAAACTCAGACCTGAGTCAGAATCCACAAACCACTAACAGTCTAAACAACCTAAATTTCTTCTACGCACTAGAGATAAACTAAACTTTGAAACTTGTAATTCTCAACAAATCTAGAACCAAACAGAGAGTCAAAGGTCAACAACATTAAGGAAGAAGCGAAACCTAGAAGAAAAAAATCATTGTCGAAGACGAAAACTATTAAAACTACGATGGAAAATCAACGACGAATACAACCATCGAAAAACTGATTATACGGTAGTGCAGGTGACTAACATTGACCGTCGTACCAGAGTTGCTGTATAGATTGAGGAGAAGACAACACAAAAACTACTTCTCAAACAATGGATCGAAGAGAGAGAAGAAAATTTCTCAATGTCATTAGGCCTCATGAGATCTCAAACATATTTCATTTATTTTTCTTAAAAGATTAAAAAAAAAATCTTAATACCTATCAATAATAATATTTAATAAAATCTATAACTTAATTTACCATTTTATATTTTTAATGTCTAAATTTACTAATAATAGAAAATAGCTAATAGAATAAACTTGTAACTTCTCCTACCTATTAAAAAAAGTAGTACTAGGGTGTTGCCAGGGAGGAACTAGAACTAGAACTACAAGGGCCCTGAGTTTGGTTTAATGAAATCTGAAAAAGGGGTATATGTCCTATTTACTACTCCACATTTCTGTGCACTGCTCCACACCATTCACTCTCCACCACCTATCTCCCTTTTCTTTAATTGCACCACCCACCATGCTCACCCACCTAATTGCCTTTATTGCTTTTCTTTTCTCTTTTCAGGAGCCAACTAGCTTCCACTCTAAAGTGTTGATACCCTTTCTCTTTTCCTAAATTACCACATTCCCATTATAAATTAAGATCACATGCCATCCACAGAACTATAGCGAAAACTCTCTTGTTATAGAACTTTATACCGTAAAATTGGTTATAATAAAAAATTGTGTTTTTTTTTCATTATACTTTACACAGTGCTTAGTAGTAGTACTATTTAGTATCTTGTAAATTCTTTTTGTATTAGCAGAATCAAAACATGTTTAAGTTTAATAATCTTTTGATTTTTTAAACTTTTTAATGACTTTTTATATGTATGTCTAAAATATTATATTACAAAAATTTCTTTCACACAAAAAAAAAGATTTTCTTAACATTAAATAAATTAAATATCAAATTTTAAATTCTTTGTAATTTTTTTTAATATTTTAAATATGCATTTAATAGTTAATGAAAATTTTGTGAAAGAATTTATAAATTAAATATATAATGATTTAGAAATAAAAACAAAAATATTTGGAGGATATAATTTTGTAATTAAATTAAGATAATAATTTAGACATTTAATAATTAAAATATTTATTGTTATATATTTAAAATAATAAAAAGTATACATATTTATAAAACATTACTTAAAAATGGTTTTAGTAAAATCTTAAAATTATTTTTCATTTCATTTTTTAAAAATGAAAAATAAACTGTAAATTGTAGATGATTCTTGACGCCTTTGTTTTTGTTATTTTGTTAATACTGTATTCTTTACTTTTCAGTTTGAATTCATTGTTAGTAGATGATTGAGTATTATCTTGATTTTTAAAGAAAAAACATCATAGAAAAAAACTGTAAATTGTAGGAGTATAAAACTTCTACAAGACTACAGTCAATGGAAAAAAGAAGGGCAATCTTGGAAGTTACCCTGCCAGCTAAGCCATCCACGTCAAAAGATAACAGACCATAATGACTTGTCTGACACGTAGGATCCCAACCCCACATGCCTAACGCCACGTGTGCAATCTTTATTTATTTCTCTATCTACCCACCAGGTCCCCCTTTTCCCGTTATTAAAAACCCAATATTATTGCCTTATGTGCGCACAGCACACCCGAGAGAGACATTAGACAGAGACGTTACTTTCTCACCACCGCCAATAACAACTTCCGGCCACCCCGTTGGAAAAACCTCTTAACTTTTCACATTTCCCGGTAAGTATCCACCGCTTCACTTCTCCTTCCGGTAACCAAAAGTCTCTTCTGTTCTTTCATTTAACCGTTTCACATAAACACTCTTGTGCCTTTTCTTCAACTTTACTTCTTCTCTGTTTCTCTTTCTCTTCAAAGTTTGTTTATAGGGCACTTTGGTACTTTTTCTCTTTCTGCTACTACAACTGCCACTGCCACTGTCACATTCTGTTTCACACCCTCCTTTTTTATTTTACCCCTTCATTTTTAATCTCAATTTCAAATCTACCTTATAAATTTATTTTGTTTCTCTGAGCTCAATTTCAGATGGATTTTTAGTTTATGTGTAAGGAAAATGGAAGCTTCATTCAAAATGAGAGTTATGAGAGTTTTTCTCGTGTTCTTGCTGTTTCTGGTGACCGTGACGGTGACAGCTGTTAACCCGTCTTTAAACGACGACGTTTTGGGGTTGATTGTGTTCAAAGCGGATATACAAGATCCAAAGGGGAAGTTAACGTCTTGGAATGAAGATGATGAAAGTGCTTGCAGTGGTAGTTGGGTTGGGGTGAAATGCAACCCTAGATCCAACAGAGTGGTGGAGGTTAACCTGAATGGGTTTTCTTTATCTGGAAGAATTGGTCGTGGGTTGCAACGTTTGCAGTTTCTGCGTCGGCTTTATTTGGCGAATAACAATCTTACCGGGAGTATAACCCCTAATATTGCTACTATTGATAACCTTAGGGTTCTTGATTTGAGTAATAATAATCTTTCAGGGGTTGTTCCTGATGATATTTTTCGACAATGTGGGTCTATGAGAGTTGTTTCTTTAGCGGGGAATTTGTTTTCTGGTAACATACCTTCTAGTTTAGGGTCATGTTCAGCTGTTGCTACTATTGATCTTTCTTTTAACCAGTTTGATGGTGGTGTTCCTAAGGAGATTTGGAGTTTGAGTGGACTTAGGTCTCTTGATTTGTCTGATAATTTGTTGGAAGGTGAGATTCCGGAAGGTGTCGAGGCGTTGAAGAATTTGAGAAGCATTAACTTGGCTAGGAATAGCTTTTCTGGGAAGATACCTTATGGGTTTGGAAGTTGTTCGCTTTTGAGGTCTATTGATTTTGGTGAGAATTCTTTCTCGGGTAGTATTCCTAGTGATTTGAAGGATTTGGTGTTGTGTGGTTACTTTAGTTTGAGCGGAAATGCTTTCTCAGGAGATGTTCCTGAGTGGATTGGAGAGATGAAGAGTCTTCAGACATTGGATCTTTCTCGGAATAGATTTTCTGGTTTGGTGCCGGACTCTTTAGGAAAACTTTGGTTAATGAAAACATTGAATCTTTCTGGAAATGGTTTCACTGGCAATCTTCCCGAGTCCATGGTGAATTGCACAAACCTTGTGGCTTTGGATGTTAGCCAAAATTCATTGTCTGGAGATCTTCCTTCTTGGATTTTTGGGTCGGATTTGGAGAAGGTTTCAGTGGCAGATAACAAAATGAGTGGTAGGGTGAAAAGCCCTCTCTATTCCTTGAAAGAAGTTGTGGTTCAGAGTCTTCAAGTTTTGGATTTATCTCACAATGCATTTTCTGGTGAAATCACTTCTGCTGTTTCACATTTAAGCAACTTGCAGGTTTTGAATTTATCTTATAACTCTTTGGGAGGTCTTATTCCGGCTTCAATCGGTGATTTGAAAACATGTTCTAGTCTTGATTTGAGTTATAATAAGCTAAACGGAAGCATACCTCGGGAAATTGGTGGAGCTCTTTCTTTGAAAGAACTTATTTTGGAAAACAACTTCCTTACTGGGAAAATCCCAATTTCAATTGAGAACTTCTCTTCATTAACAACTTTGTAAGTTGCTTTTCCCTTTGCCATATTTTTGTTTTAAACATGTGTGGATATGCTCTATGGATAATTTAAGGCTGTTCCAATTTTAGAAGATCTAGCTAATCTGCATGCTACATATTTGGTTAGAAAGTTTAATTGGATAGATAGATCATACCCGAAGCCAGATGTTTGTTCATGGTTGTTGTTATACCCTTTAATGGAGACATTTCTTGTGGTCTCACTTTTTCTCCTTGTTCTATAAATGATAAAAAAACAACTGAAAATGTCTCAAATTTGGTTTAGTTTATTATGTAGATTTCTATTATTTTGTATAAATAGGTTTGTTGTGCACTTTTTTACTTATTATCATTACATCACTAGCAATAGTCGTGTTTAGTTCAATAATACTTCTCACTTTTTCTAGACCCTGCCCTATCATAAGTAAAAAGTTTGAACAAAAGACATCCATAATGCATCTAAGAGAATGGATGGTGATTGATACTTGAACTACCAACCAAATATCTGTTATAGTAGCGTGGCTTTAATTTTTTGCAGTTACAGTTTGATGCATTGTTTGTCTATTCCTCAATTGGCACCATTTTTTAGCTGCTTTTTAGTCTTGAGTTGAATTTTAATTATAATGCAGTAACATCTGATATGCTCTTATTTTCATTATGGTATCTGTTCTGACTCTCGCTTGTTTCTTTATTTCTCTCCTTTCTTTTTTGGCATATTGTGTAGGATTCTGTCGAAGAACAAGCTGAGTGGGTCAATACCAGCAGCAGTTGCAAAACTCACCAATTTGAAAACTGTGGACATATCATTCAACAATCTTAATGGAAGCCTTCCTAAACAATTGGCCAACCTTCCCAATCTCCTAACCTTCAACTTATCTCACAATAACCTTCAGGGCGAACTGCCGGCTGGTGGTTTCTTTAACACCATTTCACCTTCCTCCGTTGCTGGCAATCCATTTCTTTGTGGATCTGTTGTAAACAAAAAATGCCCTGTTAGGCTCCCAAAGCCTATTGTTCTGAATCCCAATTTTTCTGGTGACTCTGACCCAGGTTCGCCTACTCCAATGTCAGGTCACAAGAGAAATATTCTCAGCATTTCAGCACTCATTGCCATTGGTGCAGCTGCTTTCATTGTAATTGGTGTCATTGGCATCACTGTTCTCAACCTTCGTGTCCGGGCTGCCGCATCTCGATCTCCAGTGGCCCTTGATTTTTCTGCAGGGGATGATTATAGCCGTTCGCCAACCACAGATGCCAACTCCGGCAAGCTTGTCATGTTTTCAGGTGAACCTGATTTCAGCTCTGGTGCACATGCCTTGCTTAACAAAGATTGCGAGCTTGGGCGTGGAGGATTTGGGTCTGTGTACCAAACAGTACTAGGAGACGGTCGTTCAGTTGCTATAAAGAAGCTCACTGTGTCGAGCCTTGTCAAGTCACAAGAAGATTTCGAGAGGGAAGTGAAGAAATTAGGAAAAGTCAGACACCAAAATCTTGTTGAACTCGAAGGCTATTATTGGACTTCATCACTTCAACTCCTTATATACGAGTTCGTCTCTCGTGGTAGCCTTTACAAACATCTCCATGAAGGATCAGGCGAAAACTTCCTTTCATGGAACGAGAGGTTTAACGTCATTCTCGGGTCGGCAAAGGCCTTAGCTCACTTGCATCACTCCAACATCATTCACTACAACATTAAGTCAACCAACATCCTCATCGATAGCTACGGCGAACCTAAAGTAGGCGATTACGGCCTAGCAAGGCTGCTACCAATGCTCGACCGGTACGTCTTGAGCAGCAAAATTCAAAGCGCACTCGGCTACATGGCACCGGAGTTTGCCTGCAAAACAGTAAAAATCACCGAGAAATGCGATGTTTATGGATTCGGAGTTTTGGTTTTGGAGATTGTGACAGGGAAAAGGCCAGTAGAGTATATGGAGGATGATGTTGTTGTACTTTGTGACATGGTAAGAGGAGCATTGGATGAAGGGAGAGTAGAGGAATGCATTGATGAGAGGCTACTAGGGAAGTTTCCAGTAGAAGAAGTGATTCCCGTGATTAAGCTTGGTTTGGTATGTACTTCACAAGTGCCATCTAATAGGCCAGAAATGGGAGAGGTAGTTACCATATTGGAGCTTATAAGATGCCCTTCAGAAGGACAAGAAGAGTTGTTGGAATGATGAATTGGATTATTAACTTGTTTTCTTGATTAGGAGGTTAGACAAAACAATGAAATGGGTTACCCGGGGAAGATGAATCCGGTTTTAATCAATTAATCAAAGAGACAGAGAAATTGTATTATTTTCAATGTAATTTAGTATTGTTGTTAGTCTTTAGTTTTGTTCTTTTTAAGATTTCTCTGTTGTTATGCTCTTGCTGGATTCTTTTTCACCGGGGTTCCAATTTGGATGAAATTTGAAAATTGTTGCTGTTGCTCAATCAATGATGTTTCATATTCTAGTTTGTTTCTTTTGATGTCGTGCTTTAGTTGTTTTGGACCTCTTTTTCACTTTTGTGTGTCTTGAAAAGACCATAATTTCGTACGCTTTTGGTGTTGGGCGCATGCAATAGGTATCGTTTTGTGCTGTCTTTTTGTTTGGTGGAGAATCTTGTTGGAAAGTTGAATATGTTTGGAAAAGAGAATCCTATCTTCTAGTATGAGTTGAGTGCTGTAAAGAAAAATAACATAAATATCAATATGTAATAATACTTTTTTAAAACTAACTGACAAAAATCTATCGTAGCAATAATCATAAATATAGACTAAGGAGTATATTGGTGCATGGTCAGTAAAGATAACATCAGACAGTGATAATGTTATTTTAGTGATCGAACCCTATGCTTGTTCGTTGTTTTTAATAGTTAACTATATTTAAAATCTTATGTTTTAATTAAAAATTATTATTCTCGACAAAAAAAATTATTATGTAAATAATATCTTTTAATAGTTAACCATATTTAAAATTTTATGTTTTAATTAAAATTTATTATTCTCGAAAAAAATATTATGTAAATAATATCTTTTAGTTAACCATATTTAAAATCTTATGTTTTAATTAAAATTTATTATTCCCGACAAAAAAAGTTATTATGTAAATAATATCTTAAATTTCTAAAAAGAATCTAAATGATTTGATAAGATTGCTTATGAAAATATTTTTTGTTTGTTTAGGAAAAACAATTCTAAAACACACTTTATTGTAATAAAAAAAACATTCTTTCTGAAGTCTACATTCTATGTCAATTCCATCAGCTTTCTCCATCTCAGAAACAAAAAGTCTCATTTCTATTTTTCTAATTTTTCTATCTCAAAATAAATTTCTTTTTACAATACTAATACATTATTATTATTATTATTATTATTATTATTATTATTGTTATTATATATTTATTTATTAACTTTCACTTTATTAAATTACTCTATCAACTATAACAACTATAATTAATAAAAATATTATAATAAATAATATTAATTTTGGTAAAAACATCTCAAACATGACACTTTTTATATGGCGGAGTATTATATAAATATCAATTTATTTGTTGGACTTGACTAATTAATGTGTTTTAGTTAAAGATAAATAGTTTTTAAAAAATCTGGATTTAAATTATGGTTGAAATAATTAACAAAATTATTCTTACAACTCAATTAATCTGAATTATTAGGGTAAGATTTAAAACAAAAAGTTTCAATCAAATTAGAAAGTTTTTTCTTCTCTTTATGCTGAATTAAAATATGGATCTTTATAAATCTCTTAGTCTATAACAAGAAACTCTAAGGTATACCAAAATAGAAAATTAGTGATATGCTAATGAAATTTACAGTGGAATCTCTCTTGTACAACGTTGAAAGTCTCTGGTAAGCAGAGAGAATTGTGAACCTGCAAGAATAATACTTCAGCGTTCAAATTATTTAGTTAAAAGAGATCTAAGTTGCATGAATGAAGCGAATCGTATCTTTGTGTGGCACCAATCACATTTATATACAAGTGACAGTTAAAATTGCTCACGGTAAGTGTGGCGTTAAAATGCAGAAGATTGTTGTATTGACTGTAATGATTGCGATGAGCACAATTTCTAGCTCTAATACTAGACTACTTGGTGAGAATCTGCATCTTCATCACTATTGAGCATTCAAAACTTTGGATTGGACTTTTGGACATAATTGATTTTATTGGACCATTTGGTCTATTCAAAACAGTTTTTCCTCAAGTCTCTTCTACCTAGCACAAAAAAGCTAAAAATGTTACAGAATTGTTAAGACTGACCTCTGAAGTGCTCTTAATTGTTACAAGGCCTCTATGCAATCCTCTATGTTAGGGAAGAGGCCAGTGGCATGTTGAGTGAAGTAGTTAGTCTCGGAAACACATGCAGGCATTGTAATTGAAACATATCATAATGGAGGTCTTTCACATGGCCCCAGACTTGTAGGATAAAGGGTAATGTCTTAAGAGTGCTCAAGTATTGTTGTAGAATCGAGGTTAGGTATTGAACGTTGATAATGCTTTCAGAGCTTCTTTGATTCTTGGTTGCACAGATCACAGTGATTAATATGTTTTTTTCGTTTTGTCTCCTTTATCTCCAAATTGTTATTGTTCTGCACTTCTTATTTTTCTTTAAATCATCACATTCCATTATTTTTACCTTTATTCTCTATTGTGAAGCTCCTCTCTGGAGTTTGGTAATTCAATTTCTTCATTTCTCAAATAATATGAGTATCTTATGGTAACAATGTTCTATTTTATGACTTTGCTTGTTTTTTACTTACTTCAGGGTAAGGTTGCGGGAACCTAAATCTCGGTACTATTATGGAAAAGGGAAATTTTCCTGTTGGCTTGACCTTAGAGAAATTGTTAGAGGTTTTACTTTCTCAACCTTACATTTATCCAACCCATATGATTTTAGGCGAGAAAGGAAGTCTAAAACGTATATTAGGGCACACAATCATGCTTTCGATTGTGATCCAACTGATAATGAAGTTAGATGGTGCATATAGTCACATTCATGTGCTTGTACTTATTGTCATTCTATTTTTTTGCCTTTTGACCTCAGAGCATCAATGGATCGGGAGGATCACCAAAATAAAGAGATTTTTGAGGCTGAAGATTAACTTTTTTGAGTAGATCAAGAAACACTAGCCACAATCTTTGTGTTTATTGACGAAGGGGTTTTAGATAACTCGTTCACCAGAGAGCCCTTCATCTGATTTGAGGGGATGCCTTTTAAAAATGACAATAGGTTGTGCAATGGGTATGTGGGGGTGTGTTCTTTCTCTCCACGAGTGCCTTTTATTTCAGATACGGTTCTATCTTCCCTTTAATGATTCAAGGTGGAGATTATTAATCATCTAGGGATCGCCGTGTCATAGCTACATTCTATGAGTCAAGCATACGTCAAATATTTTCAATACTGGGATGAATACAAGAAAGGCACCCTCCACTCTAAAGCTCTTCTTCCATCTCTTTAATGTTCAACGAACTTTTCCAAACTCAGACTAGGGCAAAGGTTTACTCTCATTCAAGCAGGGTAAACATATTTTTGAATTATATGTAGACAGTTTGAGGAAAGATCTTACTTAGTCACACCTCTTACACGCACTGCTTACAAGAGTATTTGGGACATTCAGATTGGGGTATCTTCAAGATGTAATGGTAAATTCATGAAGTTTTGGCTACAAAATCACTTATTGGTGGGACCAGGATCATACATATCAAACTAGTTATCTATCCCATGAAGATAAGTACTTGAAGAACAATCTCACCTCTTTTTGGGAAGGCCTAAACTTTGTTGGAGGTGCAGGATCTATTGGCGCTAATTCTTCAAAATAGAAAATGTCAGTATATTGTAACTTGTCTTTTAGTTTAAGGATCTACCAAAGAGGAAAGGTATAATATCTTTGGTAAAGGCAGATACATCCTTTGTATACCCGATTATTTTGTATTGATGATATTTACTACTTTTTATTATTCAGGAGATGGGGTGTTAATAAGTATGTCCTCGCCATTCGTTGTTGTGAGGGCAAACCCTCATATAACATACATACTTGAGTTTCGATGATGACAAAACGCAATCATGGATGAATCGGTTTTCTCGACTCTACCTCTACAAGATAAATGAAATATTTCACCTCTCATATCCTTCTTATATCCATCTAATTTGTCATATTAAATTCAATATATGTGGAAGACCATTGGTTATGTCTAGATGCATAAAAACCACAAAAATATGTATTTTTGCAGATTTGCAGGGTTTGAGTCGACCACAGGTCGACACATGGTCGGCGCACACCGATATATGGTCGACGCATACTGTGAAGACTTTTTAATTTGCCTAAATTTGCAGGCTATGCGTCGATGCATAGTCCTGCTATAGTCGACCGTTCGCTCGTTTATGTTGTTGCTGAAGACTTTCCACTTTGGTTGAAAAGCTGTTAAGTTTGCTGGCTTGTTGGTTACTATATATAGATGTTTTATGTTCTTTTCTCAATAACAATTGAAATTTTGAGTCAATTGCAACCCAACAAGAAAAGTGAAATAGGTGCCATCAAATCTCTTCATCTTCATCCTCAACAGTTCACAACACAACAATTACACACAACAATTCTTGGTATGCTTGGTGGTTTGTTCAAGGTGATAAGGTCCGAAGCCGTTGATCGGAAATCCGGTTCGGGTTGAGTTTGTGGCAGGTTTTTCTTGAATAAAACCTTGAAGGTTTTGTCCTTCAAGATTCGGAAAATTTGGGGTTTTTTGATACAGATCGTCTCTACCAACTTTCAGCTGAGCGAAGGTGATTGAGAAGTGAAAGGCTTTGTCAATCTAGTAGCGGGAATCAGTGAAGTGTGCAAGAGAGTTCCAGGTTTGATTTGTGTGTGTTTGAGATCAGCCGGGCCGAGGGTTTGAAGAACGAAAGGTTGTTCAATAAAGGGGCTGTAATCGGAGGTCTACTCACAACAATCGGAGAACTTGATTCGACTCGAATCAAGGAACAAGAAGCGAAAGCATCATCAACATCAAGAGGGCTTGTTTGTATATTTTGCTTATCGATTCTTGTATAAACATTTCAACTCTATAGGTGATATCTATTATATTGAGCTCAATTCTATTATTAGAATTGAGGGCAGACGTACCCCGAAGCGAGGACGGCAGGGGAACTGCCTCAACAAATCTTTGTCTCCTTTACT